TGGCTGGCCTGCCTGCTGGTGAAACTCCTGATCGATGGGACTATTTGCATATTAACCTTTTATTATATAGGATATACTCCGAGTGGCCAGACTATTTTGCATTCAGAGATTATAATATTCTGGCCACTGAGTGTATATGTTATGGCCTTCATTTTGCTGTGTTCTCATCACTTGATTTGTTGGATGACTCCTTGAACATGACAAAGTTAGAATACATATTCCACAGTCATGTGGATTGGAGCTTTTCAGAAAGGTGAGTCGCAGGACAATTTTATTCTAATCTGACATCATTAGATTCTAGAGTCTACTTGTCATCACATTCTGTGCTATTGCCAGGTTAATTCTACAAGCAGCTTAAACATTCAGTCTTCTGACCTGTTCCACCTACACAGGCATTTAATGACTTAAAAATGATGGCTTAAAAATGATGGCTTAGAAAGGAAGGGAGAGGTTTATTTTTGATTAAGTGTAATATGGGAAAATGTGTAAGGTAAGCCTTTAAAAAGAAAAATAAATAAATCTTTCTCTGTATATTTATGTGCTTAAGCTCATTGATATATTCACAAGCCAAGCTTTAATGCTTCGTTTAGTTTCCCACTGTAACTGAATAATTGGGATATCTGGATATTTATCTGAAATAGTCTTGCGAGTGATTCTGTTTAATCTGTGGTTCATATTTTAAAATGCATGAGTCAACAGGGTATACCTTTATTTTACTGACTCCTATCACTAGAGGAATTTAATATTTGCAAACAGATATTATGGCTTATTATTTTGAAGATGGAAAGTTCTACCTTCTCCTTCAGGGCATCCTTTAGTTTTGTGCCCTCTCATGTGTCTCCCTGATTTCTCTCTGCCTGCTTCTCTAAGTCTTTCAACTTATCTTCCCCAAGGTTTAATAGACCGGGCAGGTACATAGAGGTAGAGACAATTTTTTAGACTTAGCATCCTTTTAGGATACTTCAGTGTGACCATCCACTTTAGCTGCCCGAATTCTCTATTTCCCTATTGTTTCCATATTGATAAGGTGGATAGTACCCGTCAGGAGGCTTGGGAGGTTTCCACGTTGGCTGCCTATTTTTTTTTTTTCTCATCTGACACTTTTCTCGCTCTAGCTGCTTCAAAAAGGAACAGAACTTCCAACAAAATTGCCCTGCCATTCAAGTTACTGAAGACCCCTTGCATCATGGGACCTCTCCTGTTTCTTGCCAACCTACTTTTTTTACTGCCCCTTCGAGCCACTTTAAAATACGAAAAGTCAGTATAAGTAGAGGAAGTAATTTTACTACCACATCAACTATATCTTTGTCATCTTCCTCTGATAGAAGACTTTCTTTATTTGGTAAACTTCCAAAAAGCATTGGTTCCCTTCAGCGTCAACAAAGTAGAGCTAACTTTGAATCTGAAGACAAAAGCAGCGTCATTGAACTAAAACCTTGCTCAGAACATTTTGCTTTTAGATCCCGGAGACATTTTTCTACCCCTAAACTAAGTATAATCTCCTGTTATGAAAGTGCTATGTTTATTGATCTTCAGTCAAGTGGTGAGAACATAGTGGATCCAAATGAAATTGAAACAGCGTCTAAAATCTCAAGTAATGTTGATGCTGAAAAATATCTAAGTTCTTGTCCTCCTGACTATAGCACTAGACATTTTCTAAATTTTGACACAAAACCTCGTTCCTCGGCATTTAGAGATAGCCACGGACATGCAACCTTCCTCTCTCTCCCACCTCTCATTTCCCAGTCTTTGATAAGTGATAGTGACAGTGATACACAAGAAAGAAGCAGCCAACCAAAGAAGGAGCTCCTTCCTGCTGATTTGCAAAGTCACAGTGCAAGTCAACCCCCAGCTGTGACCTCTGGAAACACGACTTCTGATCCCCATGAAGTTGCTTCGTCTTATAAACACCCTAAGAAATTTATCCCAGTTCTAAAAGAAATCACAGATTCCTTTGATGATGGAAATAATGCTAAGTCATCTAAAGATGAAGACAAATCTTCACCTAGTGAAACTCCTAACTTAAGGTCACCTCAGATTTTAACCTCTCTTAGAAGGGCAGCTCAAATCAGAAGTTTTCCTATCCGGCATACTCTGTAGTCTGTAGAAATCACTTCTCAGTTTTCACCGCAGCCTCCTCCCTCACTAAGCTTCACTACATTTTCTGAAAAGGATTGCCATGTTGCAATCTATATTTAATTTTAATTTCTGTGTCTTCTGAAAAATAGCTCATTAATATTATTGGAATATGGAAGTCAAACCTAATGCATGTGTTTCTGGGTTTTAACAGGTTTCCTAGGTTGGCTGGTCCCAAATTTCTGAGTGAATGTTGTAATACATTTGTGGTCTGAAAATAACATCAAGCTTTGATATATATAGGTCTTCTAAATGTATTACATTTTTTTTTGAGAGTTTAACATTTTTTATCCTAATCTCATGATTGGAGATAATTTTCCTATATAACATATAAGGCAGGGCAAAAGTAGGTTTATAGTTGTTCCTATGGAAAATAATATAACAAGTAAATAATAATACCCACACCTGTAAACTTACTTTTGTCCCACCCTGTATATTTTCATATTTATCAGTTCAGAAATTTTCATTTACATAAGACTTGTTAATTATATTTCTCATGCCACACATTTCACTGACAGATGATGTTTTTATTAATTCAAGGACCAAATTATATGTAAAAACATTGTCATGGAAATATGTAGACTACTGAAAACCAGATATTTTAATTAAATATTTTTAATACACATTTATGTATGCATATGTCTGGGAATTCAGAGAAACTCTGAAATAAAAAATGTATATATTAGTGATTTTTATTTTTTTAAAGATAATACATTTCAAGTGTTTTCCAAAATTTTTATTTTTAAATTTTTTAAATAAAATTTTTATTTTAAAAAGTATCTCTAAAATTTTTATTTTTAAGAGTGAATTTTTTAATATTTATTATATTATACAAAGTTTATAAATATATTTATCAGATTAAATAATGAATGGATAATGTAGAGAGGCAATTAAAAATGCTTAAGTTAGAATAGAATTAACCTTTTTAGAGGAAAGGGATTTGCATTATTTTCAATTATCGTAATAAAATGCTCCCTGTATTTGTCATTGGGCTAAGATGTTACTTTTGTTTTTCACTCCCCACCCTTACTCCTCCCCGTCCCCAGCACTATTTGCTGAAGAATTCTTTTTTCCTCCATTAAATAGTCTTGTCAAAAATCATTTGATCATATATGTGAGAGTTCAACTTCTGGGCTTTATTCTATTGCATTGATGTATATGTCTGACTTTATGCCAGTAACACTGTTTTGATCACTGTAGCTTTGTAGTAAGTTTTAAAATCAGGAAGTGTGAGACCTCCAACTCTGTTCTTTTTCAAGATTGTTTTTGCTACTCAAGATCTTCTATATGCATTCTAGGGTGGATTTTTCTGTCTTTACAAAAGACATTGTTGGGAGTTTGAGGATTGCACTGAATCTTTGGGTAATATTGACATCTTGACAATAGTAAGTCTTCATAACATGAGATTTCCATTTGTGCCTTCACATGTGTTGAAGTCTTTTCAATGTGCTATAGTTTTCTCAATGTGTAGTAGTTTTCAGTGGCTGTGTTCTGGATGTATTTTGAAGATAGAACCAATAGGGAATTTCTAACAGGTGATATTGCTTAGGAAGGAAAAAGAGGTTCAAGGATGATTCTACATGTTTTCACTTGGGCAACTGGAAGGGTGAAGTTTCCATTAATAATATTGTAGAAGAGGTTGAATATCATTTCATATAGTGTCTTTGTTATAAGGACTTTGAAATAAATTTATTTTATATTGGAAACAGTTGCACTTCTCTAAAAACTTGTTTCATTTATTTCTTTGTTAATAGCTGCTGGAAGATACAGGCATGTGTATCCTTCGTAACAAGGATATAGATATTTGAAATATATGTATTGTTTTTATTGACCTTACTCACATTTGGCATTGGTTTTCAAGCAAGCAAAGGTCCTGAGGTCGGGGTGTGACTACTTCTAATTAGTTCTCTTATATGTTATGTATTCTTACATACCTTTCTAAAATCTTTTTAGAACAGGGCAGGGCTCGAATAAATTGTTTTTGTATGCCACACACACAAAAAAGGAAATGTAGAAGATAGCATGAATTTTTAAAAACCCAAGTTGAGAATGAGAACATTATCTTGAACTATAAATATATATAAGTGAGTGTGTGTGTGTGTGTGTTTGTATTTGAGTGCCTGCTGAGTTCCTACAATGCTGTATCATACATTCAGCAATATTCAGTGCATATCCACTATGAGTCAGATGCTGTTCTAGGCACTTGATACACCAGTTAATATAAAACAAAGAATCCTGTTGTCGGGGAGCATACACTCTAGTGGGGGTGATACTGATAAAAGTAGCACATGTAGTAGATTAGTAAATTATATAGTATATCCGAAGATGGTACTTGCTACAGAAAAGAAATGCCAACCTAAAAGAGATTGGCCATAAAGAGAATGAGGGTGGGTTGGAGTGTGGAGGTTGCAGTATTAAATAGGGTGGTCTGGATTAAATAGAGTGGTCTAGTTTTCCAGACCCTAAAGCACTTAACATACATATTGAGGAATTAAATTTAGATGCATGCTCTTCTTCACAATGAGAAGATGACATTGGAGCTGAGACTTGAAGGAGGTGAGAGCAAGCAAAGGTCCTGAGGTCGGGGTGTGACTAGCCTGTTTAAGGAATAGCCAGGCAGCCTGTGTGGAATTGAATGAAAGATGAAAGTAGTATGGAGCAAATGTCAGAGAGGTGATGTTGGTTGGGAGACAAATATAGGGCCTTGTAGTCACTTGTGAGGGCTTGAATTTTTTTCTCTGAAGGGGGTACCATAGCAGGGTTTCAGCATAAGAGTAGAACGATCTGATTTGCATTTTAAAAGGATCACTCTGGTTATTAGAGTATAACTTTTAAGAGAGTTGATATTATTTCTGCAATTTTAGGTATATTACAGCTAGCACTGATACAGAAGAACAGAGTTTTCCAGACCCTAAAGCACTTAACATACATATTGAGGAATTAAATTTAGATGCTCTTCTTCAGAAGGCAGATAACTTACGTATGGACGAGTCTAAAAAGATAGAGAGTTTTGAACTACTTTGTGACCACAAAGAAAAGGTAAGAGATATATGTTAACAAGTTTGTATGTAGCTTTAATTTATATTTAATCTATGATTCTGTTCATATCATGCCCATAACAGTTGTATCAGAGTTTACAAATGCTAAATGACTGATACAAAATTTTTCTATAATATGACTAAAATTTTAAAAAAGTATATATGAGAATCCTGTGTAACGTGGCTCAGTTGGTTGGCACATGCTCCCTTGCACCAAAAGGTCATCCCTGGTTGGGGTCTGGGTGGCAGGCAACCAATCCATGTTTCTCTCTCACATCAATGTTTTATTCTCTCTTTCTCTTCCCCCTTCCTTGCTCTAAAATCAATAAATAGCCCTAGCTGGTTTGGTTCAGTGAATAGAGCATCAGCCTGTGAACTAAAGGATCCTTGGTTCACTTTCGGTCAAGGGCACATGCCTGGGTTGGGGGCTCGATCCCCAGTAGGGGGCGTGCAGAGAAGGCAGCTGATCAATGATTCTTTCTCATCATTGATGTTTCTCTCTCTCCCTCACCCTTCCTCTCTGAAATCAATAAAAATATATTAATAAAATAAATATTATCTTCGGGTGAGGATTAAAATAAATAAAAGGTGTATAGTTTTTAAAAAGTTTACATGAGACTTTGTTAGGCTCTAAGATTATAAAATGAGAACCAGAGATATGAGTATATAGATTTACTTTGATTTTTATTAATTTGTTATATTTAATAACTATTTGATAACCTAAATAACAAGACACTTCTATTCTTGAGAGGGGAGCTACATTTTAAGTTTTCTAACTTAAGAGTTATTAATGTAACAGCCATCAGTATTTTTTTTAATCCTCACCCAAGGATATGTTTATTGATTTTAGAGAGGAAGGGAGAGAGAAAGAAACATCAATGTGAGAAACATCATTTGGTAAGTACCCTAACTGGGAATCAATCCCTCACTCTAACCTAGGTATGTGCCCTGATTGGGAATCGAATCTGCAGCCTTTTTGGGGTACAGGACAATGCTCCAACCAACCAAGCCACCCAGGACAACACCAGCAGTATTTTAATCTACTTCTACCAGCGATCGGTTTTCAGTGTTTAATGTTGGGATAAATTGGGAAAGCCCCTCTGCCATTGTCACCACCACACCACCACCACCACCACCACCACCATCACCACCACCACCACCAACTCCACCATCACCACCACCACCACCACCACCCTCCCACTACCACCCCCCCCAACTCCACCACCACCACCAACTCCACCATCACCACCACCAACAACAACTCCACCATTACCACCACCACCAACTTCACCATCTCCACCACCACCAACTATCACCAAATAAGGGTTTGCAGTATCTCAAGGAGCAAGAAATCTCTTTCCCATGAACAAGCCTGATTTTTGAGGATCTAGCAACTCTAAACACATTGTCTAAAAGTTTTTAAATCTCCAGGATTATATTTTATTTTATTTATTTATTTTTTCTTTTTTATATATTTTATTAATTTTTCACATAGAGGAAGGGAGAGAGGTAGAGAGAAATATCGATGAGAGAGAAACATCAATCAGCAGCCTCCTGCACACCCCCTACTGAAAATGTGCCCGCAACCAAGGTACATGTTCTGGACCAGAATCGAGCCTGGGACCCTTCAGTCAACAGGCTGATGCTCTATCCACCGAGCCAAACCAGTTGGGGCCCAACTCAATTTTTCATGATTTTTAAAAAATTTAACCAAATCCTCCCCTTTGCACTTTCATTTTAAATGATTCAGACGAAGAACAGTTTGAATTTCTTTTTTACTGTACTACCCCATTATGAAACATCAGGTGTATTTGTAAACACATAAATTCTCAAACCTGAACATTCAGATTTAGCCTCTATTCACAGCATGGATCAACATTAGTCTTGCCATTAAGACACGATCCATGGAGGTCTTCTTTTGGAATGTTGCACAAACAAAGCTAGCCAATCGTTAGCCACTAGTAAGTGAAGCTGTAACAGCAGCAGCAATTGGTAATTGGGGTGGGATCCAGGATTATATTTTAGTAATTTAGGTTTAAAAAAAAAGTCTGCTCTTTTGAGCATATGTGATCTGTAGTAACTTACTGATATTATCTGAAATGTTCATTGAAGCATCATATCGATAGTCAATATCTTAGAAAGGAAACGAGAAGATACTACAACCCAGGGGGAGGTATGGACTCTGGCACTTGTCAGTTCTCTCTTCCACGTATGTAGGAGCTAGTGCCTGGATAGTATTACTTAGTTTTCAGTTCCACATGTTACACTATATTAAATCACATTCTGTAGCCAGGAATATTTCATTGAAAATGTTATATGCACAGGAATAGATTCAGTCATCTATAAATACCAGCTTACCTGCCTAATCTTTTTGATGTTTCAGTGGAAAACAGTTATAGTCTGGTCAAGTGAGTGAGTTCATCTAATGTGCAGGTCTATCTTTTCAGTTTAAAGATGAAATAGAGTTTATTTGGCGGTTAGTTCGTGCTTATGGAGACATGTATGATCTGTCTACAAATTCAGAAGAAAAGAAACATTATGCTAATATCGGTAAGTATTTTGTAAAAATTGATTTTCCTCAAGTGACAGTTGTTGCCAATAATAAAACATTAATGAATTTTAATTATAGCTAAAGTATCTTAGCTAAAACTAATATGTTTATTCTATTTCAGTATATCCTGGTACTAAAAAATACACATACCGTATTTTCCGGCATATAAGATGATCCCCTAATTTTACAGTTAAAACATAGGTTTAGGCCTATATTCGCTGTATAAGACTCCCCCCCACTTCTGAGGCAACACCAGTTCTTTTTTTAATAGACTGCCTCTCTGACTCTGGCCAATCTGAGCAGGCTTTTTACTTGAACACAGTGTAGCTTCGGGTATAGAACACAGTGTAGCTTCGGGTATAGAACATGTACACTGTGTATGTTCTATTGACTCGGAAGTGGGGGCTAGTCTTATACAGCAAATATAGGCCTAAACCTATGTTTTAACTGTAAAATTAGGGGGTCGTCTTATACGCCGGAAAATACGGTAGTCTAAGGACAGGAAATTTTTTTTTTAGGACTAAAGTATATGTTCTTTAAAAACATGTGAGCATAAAAGAATAGGCGACTAAAATCCTCAGATTTTAGCTTTTAATGTTTATAAAACCCCAGAAGAGACATGAAGTAATTTTCATGAATCAACACCAAGCAGAAGGCAACAATCTTTCACGGCAATTAAAATAACGCTCTTCCTATATCCGAGAACTCCAGGTGCCACAAGAAATAACTACTCAGACTTGAATGTTTTTTCAAAACTGATCATAATAAACCAGATTAGCCTTGAGCAGATAATTGTTTTAGCTGAATAATAAGTACATGGTGGCTTTTTCTACTGTCCTCCATACTCTTGCATATTTTTGAACTTTTCCATAATAACAACAATGAAAGGAAACCAGCTAGAACATCAAGCTGTCTATACATACACATGCCCCCAGGACTCACACTGCATAACAAAACCCTTTCTGGCAAAAAGCTCCTTAACTGCCATCTCTGTGATGACCTTCAGGGTAATAATTTGACATTAAACTTCTTTAATTCCTTCATTCCAAAGTCCTCTCTTTTCCAAGCTTTCCTTGTCTAAGAGCAGGAGGAAGAATCTGCAGGAAGGCAGGGCCCTCCAGACCTCCTTCCAAGTCTCTCTGTCATTTTTGTTTCCAAGAAGGAAATATTTTCAAACTTCCAGTAATTTCTTTTCTCAAACCGTAGTTTTCCTTGCCAGTTGACTTCTGCACCATAATTCTGTTTTAGTGGGAGGAGGGTGGGAAGCAGCTCTCTCTCTCTCTCTCTCTCTCTCTCTCTCTCTCTCTCTCTCTCTCTCTCTCTCTCTCTCTTTCTCATTTCTTTATTGATTAAGGTATCACATAACTGTCCTCATCTCCCCATTCCCATCCCAAACCCCTCCCCATGTATACTCCCACCCCCCCTGTTGTCCATGACCACTGGTTAGGCTCATATACACGCATACAAGTCCTTTGGTTGATCTCTCCCCCTTATCCCCACCCTCCTCTACCTTCCTTCTGAGGTTTCTCTTATTCTTTACATAGTCACCACCCGCTTTGTGGGGACCGTTTTTCCATAGCAGTTCATCGCGTAGGCCATAGACAAAATGTAGACAAAAGATTTATTAACTTGAAGGTAAATAAAAATTTAACCACAGGGAACAAACTGATTTTTTTTAATGTCTACTGAGAAAAATTAAAGTATATCAATATTAAATGTTCTGAGAGCCCTCAATTTTAAACACTCCTCTGTGGCCAAAACTTTTGCTTTCTAGTAAGTTTCCAAGTGAGGTTTTTGGTCTTGGGACCATACTTTGGAGATCACTAATTTAATTCAATAACCACCAACTCACGCAGAGGTACTAATTGTAAGTCCGTTTATCTTTCAGGAAGGACATTAGGTGAAAGAGCTGTTACTAAAGCCCCCGATAATGGATGTTGTCATCTGTGGTAAGTACGTAAAATTTATGCAGCCTTCAATTTCTAACATGTCCCTGTGAATGAAATGTAAAAATATGATTGACTTATTTAACCTGTCTGTCACATTCACTGCAAAACCTATTTAGTAGATAACAGCAGCTGTTCTTGTTCCGCTTATTCTCAGGAATTTTTCATTGTATATATTTTCAATACATTTAAGGTGAACTTTTCATTGAAGATTTCATAAGTGAATCTGCCAAGTCCAGTGGTTTGGAATTTGATAAATTCTAATTAAAACTAATTTAACAGGAAGAAAAAAAAAAAGCTAAAATGATGCTGTTTCTAACCAGCATGTAATGATGAAGTTGAATAGTTGCAGCAGAGATGCTCTGACCTCACAGTCTCACATGGTCGCTAGCTGGCCCTGCAGCAAGTTTGCAGATCCATGGTTTACAAGATTATGTGATGGTTTATAAGCCTTCATTTTGAAATAAAAGATGAAATCCTCAGAAATATTTATCCTAAAAGACTAACATCGAGGGAATAACTGAAAAACCATATTCTTTTAAAGACTTGTTTTTCATCTTCATCTTTTCCAGAATTAAGTTGCTTTGTAACCTTAAGGCTACACAAGCTTTGAGTTCTGGAATGAAGAAACTAAAACCACCAATGGTTTGCAGTTTGTTAGCCAAATTGGCCTGACGTTAATTATAAATAATGTCTTACATACGTGTTGTGATCTACTATTTACAAATTGTATCCACATGCCTCAGAGCGTGTGATTCACAGAACTTGTTTTCATTTCATAGATGAGGTAAGCAAGGCTGTGGGTGTGTATTGATGAGTAGATTAATAACCAAGGTTCACACAACAAATGGAAAAACAAAGGCAGAGCTTATATTCTTAAATACTCAGTATTCTCTCACATTATATTCTTCCTCTACTTTTGTACAGTATAAATAGCATTCATGCGCAGGCAGAAGTGCTACAGGAAAATAAACTGAGTTGTTTTAGTAGTTGTTGAAACAAGACTGTTTGTTGATTATTAAAGATATATTCCACACCAATGTCAATAAAATACAGTTTTTGTCAAGATGTGTGTAGTTAGAATGACCTCTAGATGGAGGCAATAGACCATGCTGTGAATTAACTTCCTTCAGCATTCCCATTGACTTGAGAGTTTAGGAAGTAACAATTTAAATTACATTTTTAGTGCTGAACAGTGTAAAAAACAACAGCACCTACCCAGAGATGTAGATGGAGTTAATTGCCAGGAAAGAAGTGATGATCCTTTGGGAAAAAGTGGTCATGTGTACTGTGAATTTATGAGATGTAAGAAGATCAGTAGTACTTTAGACTTTAAAGAAGCAGACTTTGGAAGGGATTGTAAAAACAAAACATAAGACTCTAGGACAGATTATTTGTGAGGGAAAATGTACATATTTCATATGTTTTTTTCTTTCTAAGAATAACTTGGAGAGAATGTGCCAAGAGCACTATAAAAGCCTAGAACTACTACATGTGCATTAAATCATTCTCATTTTGAGAAAATAGAGGATAGATTCCACCGCTGTAGATCGGTGAGCATAGATTCTTTTTCTTTGATTCCAGCCCTGATGGTTAGTTGGGTTCTTCTGTGACTCTCTGGATAAGGACGTTCAAATAGACCCAATATGGATTTTCTTAAAATGTGACATGGTCTTTTTTCTTGCTAGTAGATAGAATAGGGAAATGGAGCCAGTGTATCTGGATTTAAGCAAGGCATTAGTGCAAGTTCACTCCTAAAATTTTTGTGAACAGGATGTAGAAATGTGGCAAGCTTCTGAGCTATCCATGCTGACAGGAGGGTTTGGGCCTCATTGTTCCACAGAATAGCTATTGTCAATATCCTTTCAATCTGGAGATGATTTTAGAGTTCCAGGTCTATGTCTTAAACACTAGCGTGGTTAGTCGTTTTGTCAATGGGGAAAAGATATAGAAGTTAGAAAATAACACGAATTAGGAGGAACAGGGCATATAATGGATAACAGTAGTAATTCAAAAGATTGTCACATGTTAAAAAATACAGAACAAGATGTTAATTAATAGGAATAATAAGGAAGAAAGGATGGGGGAGAAAGTGTCAAAATTTAAGGACATTTAGGACAAACAAATGAAATTTGAATAAAGTGGAGTTTGGTTAATAGTTTATTAATATTGGTTCATTGTGAAGATGGATCAATATTGTAGGTCAATGTTGGTACAGTCGTGATATACATAGTCTAGTAATGTAAGATGAAAGCAAGAGAGAAAACTGGGTATGGGTATATGAGAACTCTGTACTGTCTTTGCTTGCACCTTTCCTGGACATCACAAGGTTCTTTAAAATAAAAGTTTATTTTTTAAAAAGTGGCCTAAGGTTTTAAGTCCAAATAAGTTACAACACCCATAACAAAAACGGGGAGTTTGGTGACACAGGTGTGTGGGAATCTGCTCCACATTCTGGAACTCTTTGGGAGGAATGACAGAACACAGAGCATTTCCAAAGAACATGGAAGGGACAGTAGTGGCTTCCACCGGTGAATTCAAGAGTCTTTCTCCCCCCTCCCCCCCCATGATCTCAACAGAAGTTCTCTGTGGCTGCAGAGATGTGTGTGAAATGCACTCTGATTTGACAATTTGCGAGTAGTAGTAGTATCTCCTCATCTAGTAAGTGTTCACATCACTTTTAGTAGGTTGGCTTAGTCATCACTCTTGCTTCCGCGGTCGAAGGTTCCAAAAAGTCATCATTGAAAAGTAGTCATTTTTTACTTTGGTACATCTACACAATGGAATACTATGTTGCCATAAAAAAGAAGGAATTCTCATCATTTGCAGCAACCTGGATAGAATTGGAGAACATCATGCTGAGTGAAATAGGCCAGTCAATGAAGAGAAATACCACATGACCTCATTCATTTATGGATATTAAAGAACATTATAAACTGATGATCCAAAAGACAGATATAAAGACAGTAAAGCAACAAGCAGACTGTCAAATTACAGCGGGGAGGGTAGGGATATCTGGCGGAGATAAGAGATCAACCGAAGGACTTGTATACATGCATATAAGTACAACCAATAGTCACAAAACTCTGGGGAGGGAGGGTATGTATTGGGGGGTGGGCAATGTTAAAATATGTACACAGATAATAATTTAATAAAAATATTTAAAAAAAAGAAAAAAAGAAAAAAAAGAAAAGTAGTCATTTTTTATTGGTTGTGCCTAAGGTATGTGAACTATGTGATCTTCGGTCCAGAAACAGTGTTACTGTTCCAAAATAAGAAAATTGTTCACTTCATATTTAAACTTGAAAGTTACGTTTATCCACAGAACAACAGAGATCAGTAGCACCCAGAATTCCCTTTTTCGTTTCAGTTAGGATGATGCAAGTGAAAATTAGCACCTCCTCTTGAAATGTTTAGGTAAATGAATATTTTTGCCTAAGACAGAAACACTCTGAAATAAATACTCCAAAGACTTTTGCATAGACAGAAGCACTCGGAATGTGAAAAGTAATACATCCCCAGTTTTTAGAGTAAGCAAACTGCTGAACAGACAACATACTCAATTTACAGCCAAGTATTTATATAAATTTTATGTTCCCAATGGGGAAAAATAAAGTAAACAATCCATGGTCTGCTCTGTTCTAGTAATGCAGGGTTTCCAAGGAAGGATAGAAGGACATGGGGAATTTTTTGAAAAAGCATATTCTACAATTACCTTGATTTTTATTTAGTTTGAGTCATCATATTTATTTTTATCTTCAGATGACATTAAAGGAGGCCTTGACATTTTAATTTTAATTTTTAAAGAAGAAGCAGGGATTTGTTGATCCAATGTATTTCTCAGTTTAATCCTTGCATGATTAGATTTTTTCCTAAGAGCCTCGTTGTGACTTTAATGTTGGTGATGATGATAGTGGCAGCTAACATTTCTTGAAACTCACTATATGCCAGGCAGTATTCTAAGCAATTACATGTTTTGAGGATCTACCCTCCCAGCATGCATATGAGGCAGATGGTGGTGGTATCCTCAGTTATAGATGAGGAAACTGGTCTCACATTCACGTCAAATATTCATTGTTTCCAGGGCCCTTGCATCCACACGAATACTTTTGTTAAATATTAATGACTACTTCAAAGACATTTTTAGAGATATACTTTCAATTGATTTCAGAAGGAAGGGAAAGGGATGGAAAGATAGAAACAACAATAATGAGAGAGAATCATCGATTGACTGACTGCCTCCTGTGCACCCCACACCGGGGATTGAGCCTGAAACCCGGGCACATGCCCCAATTGGGAATCAAACCACGACCTTCTGGAGCATAACTCAGCGCTCAACAACTGAGCCACACCAGCTAGGCCACAGACATTTTTTAACTGTTATATTTGGTGGTATTTGAATAAAAGTTCACACAATATCCACTGTTTTTACTTTTTTCAGGTACGCAGTTTTGTGTGGCTACGTATCCGAGTTTGAGGGCTTACAAAACAAAATCAACTATGGATATTGCTTCAAGGTATTTCTTGATATGAAAAATGTTTTGGGCCAGGGCGGGGCAAAAACGTTTTAATGTAGCCATATTAACATGTCTAAATGAAATTATTCAACAAATTAACCTCTAGGAACTCATCCTTTTTTTTTTTTTTTTTTTAAATATATTTTATTGATTTTTCACAGAGAGAAAGGGAGAGAGATAGAGAGTTAGAAACATCGATGAGAGTCATCGATCAGCTGCCTCTTGCACACCCACTACTGGGGATATGCCCGCAACCAAAGTACATGCCCTTGACCGGAATCGAACCCGGGACCTTTCAGTCCCCAAGCCGATGCTCTATCTATTGAGCCAAACCGGTCTCGGCTCATCCTTTTTATTTAAATAAAATGAAATGACATTCTTCAAATAGGACTGTGCCAAAAGGAATCAAACTGTTTAGGTGATTAGAGATTTTTTATTATTCTAGATCCTGAAAGAAGTCACATAGTAAACGAGTATTGATATATTCAAAGATAGAGAATTAGCCTGTTGGCCATGAGCTCACTAATACTGTAAACATGACTGGACTAATTAGTTAACCTTTTCTGCATTTCTGATTTGCAGTTAGAGTAGAATCCAATCTCTGCCTTAAAATGACCATGGTAGATGAATAAAATAAGTAATGTAATACACGTTATGTATAATGTGCCTATAGTTGTCATAGCTCAATAAGTAACCCCTCAGTTTCAATAATTATAGTGATGGGCAGAGAGTTTTTTGTTCTTCAACTCCCTGTAACCATTTGATGATATCAGTGGATTAGATTTCTCTCCCATCCAGTTCTGCTATTTTTTCCTCCATTGTACCCTCACCATTTGATATTTATAAGCTTTCCTCTGAATCGAGCACTAGTCAGGGGCAGACAATAATGTGACTGGGTGTTTTCTGTTTTTAATGTGACACTAGAGGCTTGGTGCACAAAATTAGTGTACAGGTAGGGTCCCTAGGTCTGTGGTCAGGGACAATCAGGTTCCCCTGTCTCCCCGCCTACCTGCCTCCTCCTCCCCTTGTTCCCTCAGCACCCCAACACTGCTGCTGCTGCTGCTGCTAGTTGTCTGCCATGTTCTCTGTCACCCCCTGGTGGTCAGCACACCCCATAGCAAACCATCAAACTCCTGTTCTCCTGGTTGAACTCCCAAGGAGACACTTTGCATATTAGCCTTTTATATATATGGATTTTGGCTTTAAGTTATCTGTAGTCTTATTAAATCATAGTCACAGTTCTGGGTCTAGTTCTGAGCAATCATGTTTGGTAATGAATTATTGATAATAATGAGTCGTGTTAATGATAGGGATTGAGGAGGAATCTGCCTTGAATCCTTGGGAGATGATATTTCTTTGGGATTTTCTTGCAGGAACATCTAGATAAAGCAATCGAATTATTACCTGAAGAACCCCTTTTGTATTACCTCAATGGAAGATACTGTTATGCTGTAAGTTGAATATTTTTATCTATAAATCTTATTTGAGTATATTCTGATTGTATGATATATTTTCAGTGACTTATTCATTCTTTTATTGTTTTACCTATTGCTTACTATAGGGAAATAGATAAAAACATTACAAACTTTGAGTTTATATATTTTATAATTTATATTTTTTGTTTTATATTAACATTTATTTATAATAAAGATCTAATTTTTCATCTAATAAATGAAAAAGTTTTCAAAGAAAACAAGCAAAAAAATAAATGGTAATATGGTAGTTAATTTTGATGGTTATTGGTTTAAAAATGTCCTCTGGCTTGTGAATATGTAAATTGGGCCCTCATTCTATATTCCCTCTGGGTTGAGAATTGTCCATCTCTTTACATTTCTGAGATGCTTCCCTCTGGGTCCGGTTGGTGGCATGGAGGAGGCGGGAAGAAAGCAAGGGCAGGATCTTGTAGCTGGTACCTCTATGCCGAGAAACATCATGCCATCATCTGAGAGTCATGAATCAGATGAACAAACAAAGTTAATTTAACATTATTCTTCATCCCCACCCCAATGTGAAAATCTTCTTACAAGTATTTCAAATTAGTTTTGTAGTCAATGCTTTCAGAGTTCAGAGTTTTTTGAACTCTGAAAAAGGAAGTAAAATATCAATACCATAAAGCTGATGCCTCTCATATGTTTATGGATAAGCATTTACATATATTATATGTATATAAATACATAGATACATGTACAAACCTCTAATTAGGGAGAGGTTATCCATTCAAATGGCGAACACTTTCTAAGAGTAATGTTGCTCTGTATTTACAGGTCTCACAACTGAGCTGGATTGAGAAAAAGATGGCTGCTACTCTGTTTGGAACAGTACCAACCTCAACTATACAAGAAGCTTTGCAAAATTTCCTTAAGGTATATTGTATCTATCCATTATTTTAATATCAAACTGGGTTCTATCTGGGTCAGTCTTTCCTACCTTTCCTTGTCAAGGAAACTGTTCTTGTCTACACGTGTAGACCTCTAACAGTTTGAATCCTAGTTCTGTTTTATATAACTCATACTGTGAGTTATATTTTAAATCCAAGCAGCGGCTGGTTATGCCCTAGGTCGCAGGTACAATAGCCCTTATTACCAAGTCCAAGGGCAACTCTCCAGGTCATGGGAATATGTTTAAAAGAATGTATGCCCTCAGTATTAGACTCAAATACTCCTGATTAGCCTAATGTAGACAACAGTTTAATCTTTTAAAAATATATATATATATATTTTATTAATTTTTTTTTTGCAGAGAGGAAGAGAGTGGGATAGAAAGTTAGAAACATCGATGAGAGAGAATCATCGATCAGCTGCCTCTTGCACACCCCCTACTGGGGATGTGCCCGCAACCAAGGTACATGCCCTTGACCGGAATCGAACCTGGGACTTTTCAGTCCGCAGGCTGACGCTCTATCCACTGAGCCAAATCGGTTTTGGCAATAGTTTAATCTTAAAGACTCAAAAGATGCCAAAAGGAAGAGTTATTTTAAAAGCTATTCCATAAGTTGCAGACAGGTCTAAGAAACATTCTTGGGGCATCAGGCCAAATCAGTATTTCCACTGGTGTCTGAAAATGTATAATCGCTACATGCATAGAACTCTAAGCAGCACTATGTGTGTGCACACATGTAAATGTGTAATATACCCACATATATAACCAACTTCCCGTTGTGCTAATCCCCTCATCTTTGGGACTAATTAGAGATTCTTCTAGTATTAAGGTATTCCCCCACCCCCACCCCCCACCTATGATTTCAGATTTATAACAGTACAAACAAAATCAGGCTTTGAATTGTATTGTCCAACAAATGCTACCTGCTGTTTTGTTTTTTGTTTTTTTTTTGGGGGGGGGGAGGGGTGCTTCAAGGATCAATCTTGTAGAACTGAGAGGAAATTAGAGATCATATAGTCTACAATGAGAACTAGATGATTTCATGGCACTTTCTGAACAGTGGCTAGTGGCTGTCTAGAATGCTTTCTGGAAGAGTTAGTGGTCTGAGCCCGGCCAGTGGCTCAGTTTGGGAGTACACAACCGGTGATTTTGTTTTCTAAAGAAAGAGAGAGAAAGGATAGAGCAGAAGAAGCGGGGAGATGGTTATACAAAGAAATCCCCAAACCTTAAAGGATTCCATTGCTTTGTAAGCTTTATAACCATGATGATAATTTCACTGTAATGGATAAGCTAAAAAGCTATTTTGTACCCAAAGGACACTTTGAAATCAATAAAAGGATTCAGATGAGACACACCCAACCTAAGTTCTTAGGGCAGTTTGCTTCAATTTGGCTAATATTTGATTTATTGAAATACGTCCTCTCCGCCGGTGGTTTTTGATGCTTGAATAAAACCCTGTTTTTCTCTTTCCTGTTTCCTCTTAAAATCAGGTTGAAGAGCTACAGCATGATTTTTCGAAGGCCAATTACCTCTACCTTTCCAAGGTAATGCAAGCAGCAGTTTTAAGATCACTTTGAATCCATTACATAAAATGCGATTACCTTTAACATTGGCTCTTCTCTGTTTTCCAGTGTTACAGGGATCTTAAGCAAATAGAGAATGCCAGGAAGTTCTGTGCTTTGGCAAAGCGGCTTCCTTGTATAACCAGAGAGGTGAGCCCAGACGGCGCCAAAGAGCGCTGTTATTTTTCCAGACCTACTCCAGCTTCAGATGTCAACAGTGGCTGGCATACCTCTGGAGCACTGCTCCATATAGAACCTCTCGCTTGGATTCAGTGTGACCTACAAAGCGTTAACGCTTGCTGTAGGTAGCCTTTCACCAGGAGACCCCTTGTGTCTTTAAGGGACTCACACATCATGGGCTGGCAGTTAAGACATCCTGATGCTTGTTCGGTAACGGGACAAATCCCACCCGAAAGAGCAGGGACAGCATACTTCTGGGGAGTGGGTGATTAGACCTCGATAGGCAGCTGGACAGGCTGCCCACCTTGGACCAGGAGCGTGCCCCAGGGTTAGGTTAGCCTTGGTTTCCTAGTGTTCTTGTGTTCCAGCACCTAACCACTAATTTAGCAGATGTTTATTTAGGGCTTCTAGGTGCCAGGCACTGAACTAGCCCTAGGACCATGGTCAGCAGAGCCAAATATCAGAGTACAATGACTGCAATTTCTTTTGAGAGCCAAATTTTTTAAACTTCTTCTAACGCCACTTCTTCAAAATAGACTGGCCCAGGCCGTGGTATTTTGTGGAAGAGCCACCCTCAAGGAGCTAAAGAGCCTCATGTGGCTCGCGAGCTGCAGTTTGCTGACCGCTGCCCTAGGACAACGAAGATAAACACAAATGATGGTGTTTTTATAAGTTCTTTTAAATAATACATTAACACCCTAGGTTAGTCATCATATTTTCCCACATCCTTCACAAAATATTTCGATAGAAGGTAAACTTCTAGTTGGTCAGACACTACAATTGAGTCAGTGTATTAATGTTTATAATTAAAGCTATTGAAGATCTTTCCGTTAAAAAAAAAAATCTAGCTAGCAGCTGCTTCAGACATCTGTGTTGTCCAATTTTCCTCATATGTTTATTTTAAATGTATTACATTCCTTAAATTCTTTTTAAAAAAATATATTTTATTGATTTTTCTTACAGAGAGGAAGGGAGAGAGATAGAGAGCTAGAAACGTCAATGAGAGAGAAATATCGATCAGCTGTCTCTTGCACACCCCCTACCGGGGATGTGCCCTCAACCAAGGTACATGCCCTTGACCGGAATCGAACCTGGGACCTTTCAGTCCGCAGACCAACGCTCTACCACTGAGCCAAACCGGTTTCGGCACATTCCTTAAATTCTTTCTGATAGGTGCTGGGTTAATGTTTGTTAAATATAAAAATGAATAGGATACCCTACCACTTGAATTTATTGCCACTGTTTCTAACTTACACACTTGTTTTAAAGAAATGATAGTATATATGGAGTCCTATAAAACATATGGCTAAAAGTATAAGATTAAAAATTATAAACATATTATTTAAAAAAAAATATATATATCTTTATTGATTTCAGAGAGGATGGGAAAGGGAGAGAGAGAGAGAAACATCAATGATGAGAGAGAACCATTGATCAGCTGCCTCCTGCACACCTTCTACTGGGGATCGAGCCCGCAACCCAGGCATGTGCCCTAGCTGGGAATCAAATCGTGACCTCCTGGGTCACAGGTCAACACTCACCACTGAGTCACATCGGCTGGGCAAACATGTATGATTTTTAATCATACCTATAAAGTCCCTGAGAATGTCAGTAATGAAATGTGTATTTGCCTATGTGGGTCTTACAGTGGAATCTCAGATTTCTTCAGATCCTACTGCTAGGGCTAGGACTGATAATTGAAGAAGAAAACAGTGTTATCACTAATACACTCTCCTTCCTGTTTGCTGCCCCTCCACACTTGGTTGAGACATAGTTCTCCACGGTGCTCATGTTCTCAGAGATCTGGGACATGCCTGACCCTCAGAAATCCACGTTTTCATTGTAACGGTCATTCAGAAAAGTCTCCCCTCACCCAGTGGAGCTCTATCTCCAAGTACCTTGAGTATCAGGAGGAATGTGTGAGTTTTCATTGCGTGCTTGTGTTCTCTTGATAGGATAAAGATGCAGAGGAAGAGGTGAAAAAAATAAGCCTGGCCTTGATGAAGAAGTAAATAAAAGAACTTCCTCTTCAACAAATTAGATATGGTCTACTAACTATTAAACTTATTAAAGTTGTGCTTTTTATTATCCTCTTTTTATGTAAGGGTAATACACTCAGATTTGAAGGTAAAGCCATGTTTCTGTAGAATGCATTCACTAGTAGCACACCACCAATCATGTTACTTGGAGAAGTCTGTTTCTATAATGTCAGTATAAAATGATCTTTAAAAATGTATGCTTTATATTTTTTCCTATCAATAAATTATAGTCTTCAGAATCTTTCTTTTAAATCTTTCTTTAAATAAAATACTGAAATCAATCCAATAAAATGGACTTCAGTGAGTGTTTCATTGTTGCTTTGATGGAAACTTTTACAAAACAAAGTAATTTCCTTCATGTGAATGAAAAAGTGGGCAAAGGATGTGAACTAGTCATTGGTAAAAGAGGAAATACAGCCCGGTCGGCATGGCTCAGTGGTTGAGCATTGACCTATGAACCAGAAGATCACAGTAGATTCCTACTCAAGGCACATGCCTGGGTTGCAAGCTCAGTCCCCAGTAGGAGGCATACAGGAGGCAGCCAATCAATGATTCTGTCTCATCATTGGTGTTTCTACCTCTCTCCCCCTCTCTTTTCCTCTCTCTGAAGTTTACAAAAACATACTTTTTAACAAAAGTTCCAGATGAAAAACGAACCCTGCTTAATTTTCATATTAAACTACTTTTTCAAACTGTTATCACATCTCCTATTTCAACGAAAGCTTTTTACATGCTGACATAGGTTAAGAAAGTGATGCCATCCTCATTTTCCCATGGAGAAACTGGACCAAAGGTTAGATTTGCTGGAGGTCACATACCTAGCAAATGAGAGAATAGGAACTCTACCCAGCTGTCCTGGCTCCCTGCCGGGGCCTGTCCAGTGAGCAAAGAAGGGTCAGAGCCATACAATCAATCTTAAACCACTTAAGGTTTAATGGCTGTAGGAACTGTTTCCTTTGTTGCCATTTACCTAAAAAAAAAAATAAAATAAAAAATAAAAAAATGCTTAAGGCAGCTAAAGAAGATAGCCTTCTAAAAACAAAGAAAGACTTGTTGAAATTTGTGTCATTATTAACCTAGCCAAGAACACACTAATATCTTCCGCAGTGGGGGGAAATGGCTCACTGGAGGGAAAACAGTAATTTAAGATGGGCTTTGGATGGGAGCTTGGTGTCCATATAAGAAAAATTCATGGGGCCCGCCTGGAACAGAGCCCTCCTGCTCCACATAGGGGGACCATTGACTTCATCTGGCTGAGGGAATTTCCCCTCAAGATGTTGCTCAGTCTTACTTTGTTTGCCTTTGCATTTTGATGCAATTACGTGAATTTTCACTCTTCCATAACCATAATCTACATTTCACAGCATACTTCGTTGAGATTGCGATCTATCTCACAGTTTCAGATGCCCCCAGTCAGGACTATTGCATTTGGCTGTCTGCGTTGGCCACAGAAATTTGGGGGTGAGGGAAAAGTTTGTGTGATTTCCCCAAACTCAGCTGTGTATTACCAACACCCGGTTTCTTTACAGAGGCCAGCTTGGGAGTAATGGCTGCACATTCCCCCGACCTCCTACAAGGGCCCCAGGCTGGTCATGTTCTCAGCTCCCAGCATGCACATGAGGAATGCTCTTTTATTTTTTTTAATTTTTAAATTGAACCTATTTGGATCACATCTACAAATAACAACCAGTTAGAAGATGTAATATCCCATTTACCATAACCATATAACAAAACCAAATAGCTAGGAATAAACCTCAGAATCCAGCCTGATAGGTAAGCAGAATCTAAGGACCCAGTGGTTTGAACAAATAGAAAGACATTTTGACTAAGAAGACAGAATCCTAAAGTTATAAAAAAATTTCCTCAGTTAATCTTGAAATTTAGTGTAATTTCAACTAAAACACCAACACAATTCTTTTTGTGTTCTAAGAGTCAAGTAGAAAAACAAAGAGCAAGAGTACTTGTGGAAATTCTGAAAAAGATGAGTAAGGAAGGGAAGCCATACCTACCAGATATTTTTTAAAAAGTATTGTAAATCTATAATATTTAAAGCAGTGTTGTGAATAAATGAACAGAGAAGTAAAACCATATAGGAAGACATTAAATATACCTTAATACATATGCAAGTTTAATATAATGGATAAAGGTGACATGTAAAATAGACCATTCTATAAATGAGCCTTCTTCAATAAATGGGGGGAAAGGGAGAGTGGGAAAGATGGGATAGACTAAAATGAAGCAACAGGTGTAGATCTAGTTTAACCAGCAGGAGGCAGCAGCATCCTGAGAGCCATCCTCCCCAGTGCACCATGCTGGCCACAGATCCTCCTAATGTAAGGCCCCAGCAGTGTTATATGGATCACTGTATTCTAAGCGTGCACAGCTGTGTCTGGAGATGCACACAACTCATTGGAGGTCCACAGAATCTTTAGCCTGGGACAGGGACCACACCAGGGACAGGGCTGCCAACTAGGAAGGAAGTCAGGGGTCAGAATTAAAGAGAACAAGTAGAAAATGAGGAGATGGGAGAGAGAGAGAGAGAATAGCCTTGCTGGCACACAATAGGTGTACCCTTGTTGATGGGCCCAACTTAGAGATGAAGTGGTGCCCAGGATAGAGAACCAGGGAGATGTCATCACAGAGACCTGATGTGTCGTGTGGGAACAGCCACCACCTGCCAGGAGCACGATGGGTCTGAGTGATCTTCAGCAAACCAAGTATCCACCATTGGGACACTGTCCCTCTTGCTGTGTCCAGCTCACAGGGTTCACATACGAAGGATATGAGATGCCCAAACCGATTTGGCTCAGTGGATAGAGCGTCGGTCTGAGGACTAAAAGGTCCCAGGTTCAATTCCGGTTGAGGACATGTATCTTGGTTGCGGGCACATCCCCGGTGGGGGGTGTGCAGGAGGCAGCTGATCGATGATTCTCTCTCATGATGTTTCTAACTCTCTATCCCTCTCTCTTCCTCTCTGTAAAAAATCGATAAAATATATATTAAAAAAAAAAAAAAAAAGAAGGATGTGACATGACAAATGTGAGTATATGTTGCAAAAACTATTGATGTACGATCATGGTTCACTTTAAGTTGAGCCTTGCTGGTAACATGCCCTGATCTCACTGTGAGCCAGAGGTTACATGAACTGTGTAGACCCAGCAGGAATCCAGACCCCCTCCCCCAAAGGAAGTGGAGGGTAAGGGCCGTGGAATAATCAGCATCTCTTGCTGCCTTGTCCAAATGCAAGAAACCCACACACTGCTCGTAAAGAGACTGTTTCACATGCATTGCACACGTGGGCTCCACTCATCCTCCCCACGGGCTCCCTGAGCGGAAGCACCAGCTCCCCGAGGTCAGGAAGCCACACAGAGTGACAGACGGCTGATGCCTGAGCAGGGACACAGCCCTCTCACAGGGAGATGCCAAGAGAATAAAAATGTTAAGAAAAAAACAAAAAGCCATGCTTTCAGGTGTTTTGTGAGTCCATGGAAGCTTCGATAGCCTGGTGGTTGCTGACTTTACCTGCAAGGCTGACGCCCAGGATTTTTGCCACCCTCCTTCCCTCTGCTCAGCCCTGTTCCCCCTCATCCCCTTCTTTTCTTTGCCATTTCGTCCACCATTTAGACCACAGAAAGGCTCGTACTGGCTCCATCTTTTTTTTTTTTTTTTTTTTTTTTTCCTGGCTCCATTTTATTTATTGATTTGTTTTATTGATTTTATTTTTTCTGGCTCCATGTTAGCCAGCACAAATCCCCCAAGCCCCAGAGAAGGACTCCGGGGACTTTCCAGGGGAGGGCTCTGCCGTGGCTTTGGAGCCCGAAATGGGGCCGGCGCCCCATCCTCAGGAGCGGGAGCATCCGGGCCAGGCGGGGCTGCCCACGGACTGCGAGTCTTTCCTTGCGCAAAGCATGTTGCCCTTCCTTCCCTGGGGGTGTCTGCGGCTTTTCCCGACAACCAAGTAAGCTGTGTTCTGTGTGCCTGGCTCGGCTACCCTGGTCCACGGGGGTCAGCGCCAAGGAGAAAGCCGATACCCGTGTTGTGTAAGCTGTTTCCTGGGAAGTTTGCCTCCTGTGTGGTCAGAGCTGGTTACCACTGTCTGTGTCTCCCCCCCCCACCCCCCCTGCCTTCTGTGACAGAGCCTCAGCATTTGGGGACATGGCCTGTGTCCTTCCGTCTTCCTGAGCCGGCGGACAGCCAGGCAAACCACGCATCTTCAGGCACTGGGCCCCCAGCATCAGGACTAGAGCTGCCACAGAGCAGGCGACAGGAGAAATCCATTGGAATCGGAGCAGAGGACGGCGGGTTCCCCTGGGGGCCCCTCACAGCCCACGGGCTGTGCTCACAGGGGTGCTGTGGACAGGTGGGGGCAGAGGCCTGCCTCTGGATTCTCTGTGGTTCCCGCTGAGGCAGGCCCCCTGGGAGCCGAACAAGCCTCAGTGCCTTTGTGTCCAGCTTTGACTTGAGTTTTGTTAGTAACGATGAAAATAATGATATTTTTTGAGCAACGCTTAAAAAGACAGATACTGACAGAGGATATTTTTCCCATTGATTTTTTTTTTGTTTTTTTGTTTTTTAGAAAGAGTGAAAATAAGGGAGGGAAGGGGAGAGAGAGAGAGAGAGAGAGAGAGAGAGAGAGAGAGAGAGAGAGAGAGAGAGAGAAATGTCAGTGTGAGAGAGATACATGGATTGATTGATTCCCTCACATGGCCCAAACAGGGCCTGAGATTGAACCTGCAACCCAGGGACATAGGTGTCCTTGACCAGGGATCAAACCTGAGCCCCTTCCATGTGTGGGCTAGTGCTCTAACCACTGCACCACCAGCAGGGCCCTAGGTACTTCCTTTTTATGCACTATTATAAATGTTATGGCTTCTCATTTTATTTTATTTTACTTAAAGTAGCCTAGAACTTTATTTTTTATTTTATTTTTTATTAAATTATTATCTGTGTACATATTTTAACAATGCCCGCCC